TACATACATACATATATATATATATTATATGCATTTATTATATTTATCTCTAACATACATATGTATATACATTCAATGTTTGCCAATAAATACTACAAAAAACCTTTCAAAGATCTATTTAATTACGAATATGATATTTAATCAAACAGTAGGCCTATAGAGAAATTGTAAGACAATTTTCTCTTAGATTTTTCAACTAGGGTTGCGTAGAGGGCACATGTCATAAAAATACTAATACAGTAGTCATCAAAACAATTGAAAAACTTTGCAGAATTATCTTAGATTTTGTTGAAATTACGTAACATCTTTGCTCCAACAAACCCATCCGTTGCGTCGATATGTGCGTAATCTAGTGCGTATCAATGAAAGGCGCGTTACTAAGCAAACATTTTCATTCTTGCCTTGCAACTGTGAAGACAAGTATATCTTGTGAATTCTAACAACTAAAAGCCAAATAATATTCCATCATGGGGCGATGCCTGTCCAAGAATAAGGTCGAGCCCATCACAGAAGACAACCAAATATATTTTATTAAAAAGCAGTTGAAAGAACATAAGAAGATCAACAGATTTCTCCGACTTGCCTTTTGGAGAAAATCTAACAAAGTCGGAATCCTCCCAGAAGGGGTAGGTGGACGCGACGTTGTGTATTCTTAATTTTCGCGCAATTTACTTTAGAATATTAACGCGCAGACTTTAGGACCGGCCTAGAACGTAAGCGTAGCAACAATATCTCTCCATTTCTACTTCCATTGTTATAGGCCTATCGAAACATGGATGAGCGCGTAGTGTTCTGTTTCTCTTACTTATTCCGTCATGAACACACTTGGAAAATATTTATATGGTTTAGTTTTTCCATGGCGGTATTACCAATACCTCCATGGTTCTTCCTTATTTCCATCATTTTTCTTAAACAAAATGAGACCAGCCAAATCTGGCTTATGAGTGATCGTACAGCTAAATAGATTATAAAAATACACGATAAAAATACAATATAAAAATACAATAACAATGATATAATATTAACAAACTTAAAATTTATATATAAAAAAGTGATAAGCATGTGATAAATTAAAAGAGATGACTGATCATTCTCTGATGTTTAGTACCACGCATCGCAACACCACGACTTATTTTTGCTTACTTTTTTATTTAATTGTGTATGATATCTTCCTATTTCATTTTTAAAATTTTCTTTCCTTTCTGAATCGGTCTGCAAAAAATATATACGTAGTCTACTATTAATACAAGGAATTAATTAAATCGTTTCTACTAGACTTACTTTTTATTCAATGGTGATATTTCTCGTCCATTCCAGGATGCATCATCAGGCCTTGTATTAATACTACACTCACCTGGATGAATAAAAGTATCCACAAATGTTTATACGTAGTCTACTATTTTATTATGTTTATAAATAAATGGCTAGACAGACAAACTATTACGTAAATAAGATATAAAGATAGTATGAAATTTTCAAAATGAAAGTCGAGAGAGTTGATAATGTGTTGATATATGTGTATACTGATTAAATCAAAAGAGTATAACTCTAACCAACTTATATATTATCTCATGATACATACATATGCTTACACACATGCCTACACACCCATGCCCACCTATATATATATATATTGTAATCTGTCTCTTATACACATCTAGATGTGTATAAGAGACAGCATTTATATAATTAATTTCAGGAGGATACTCCATCAGACCCTCCACTAGGGTGTAAGACGTCCTCTGTGGACAGCCTGTCTGACCATGCGTCACTGATGAGTCATGACGATAGGGTCAACGAGGAGCTAGTGAGGTTGAAGGATGAAAACTCAACTGGTAAGAAAATAATATATAGGCCTTGTTTGTATATAAGCTCAGTACTAATACAGTATTACTAAATAATAATATGACTACTGCTAGTACTAGTACAGGTACAAAAGCTTTGCCAAGACATTTGGCAGATATTGACTTCATGTTGCCATTTGCAATATACTGCTTCTGAAATCTATAAACCAACAAGTTACTACTTACAACGACATTATATTAATATTAATTAATATTATAATTTCGATGACAATAATATTATAAATATTAAAGCTACTATAAAATAATGTTAATAATGAATTTACAATAGAAATGGTCGTGATGATTATAATAAAAACATATGAAATATATGTTTATTATAAAATTCTTCAGTATTATAATTATAATTATTTTGTTGTAAATACTAACAATATATTAAATAATTATATTTTGTTTTTCATTTCATATCAACTAATATCTTTTTATTTTATTCATTAGCAAACATCGTTCCATCAGTAAACCTTCCTGCCCGCCGCCTTCCACCGATCGGCATGAACCGAAGCCTGCCGACCATACAGCAGGACATGAGCTCGTGTCAAATCCTGGAGAAGCTTCGAGAGTCTGGAGTTATTACCAACACTAAGCCTGGACGAAGCGGCTGCTCGTTCGATATCATAGACCGAGCAACACCGGTACTGGATATGCCACGATCATTGTCCAGACTACAAGAGCGAGAGGAAGACACCGACAACGCGGAAGGAATTGCGAGGATTGAGAGGAAGCTCACAGCGGCTGAACGACGACGCAATGTAAATGTTGCACAATCATGCGCAAGATTGTTTTCGTTAGAAGGGGGGGGGGGAGGGGTGTGGGGTGCTAAAAATATTTATTGTATGTAACACCTTTTATTGATACAGTCAACTTGCTAAATATTCGATTGATCGATTCATTAAAAATGGTGCTAAGATGTGTATACTTCTTATCTTTGTCTTTTAGGAGTTTCTTGGTCGAAGAAAACAACAACTAGCCGTTCGTCGATCCGAAATAATGCAGAAAAAGGTAGCGGACCAGCGCGAGGCTCGACGGAACCGTCTTAAAGCCAAAATGAGCGACGCCGAGGCGAGAAGACAGGTAGAAAAATGTTGTAAACGAACATTTTTTATGAACGGTGATAGTAATACACACAAATACATAAACGATAATACCAGTTCTCGAATAAGAATATGTGATCCATGGCATAATCGTATCAAGCGTAAAGCTTCAACGAAAGGTTCCTTTTCATACACATTATGCATATCCCAGAGTCATTCAACAAATCAGTCAATCATATAT